TGTGTGTGTGTGTGTGTGTGTGTGTGTGTGTGTGTGTGTGTGTGTGTGTGTGTGTGTGATGGAAAACTAGTGAGCTTTATTGCTGTATTGCATTGTGATTAGCACAGCCCACGGAAACTGGTGACAAGGCAGCCGACATTTTTAGATTGTAGAGACATATATTACAGTTACAGGATGAATGTTGTCAAAATGTTAAATGGACATTTTTTTTTTACATCATTGGACACATGAGTCTTGTCGTGACATAAAGCTGGCTGACTTTTGTCAAAACTGTTTTTTTTGTTTTTCATTTGTTTTGACAGTGTTGCCACGATGACCCCTGATTGCACTGATCTAATATAAAAGCAAACGCATGCCACCAGCAGTATACTTGGCACCACTGGAGAGCCATGACAAACATAAAAACCTAAAACCTAATCCGATGTGAAAACTTTTCACAGGTTGTATAAAGTCGTCGTTTTGTGAATGACCAACCAAACTGGGTTGTATCAACTGCACTGGGAGTAAGATTACAAAAGTAACATGATTACTCCCTTGGTTTATGGTGGTCCTAGCATGCGGCTTAAGAATTTGTCATTACGCATATGTTAGTGATAGACTACGTTTTTTTTTTTTCAACATATGCACAAATTTGGGTTCGGCATGTATGACCACATTTCGCCATATAGAAAAAAAATTCTTTGTTTTGGATACCAATGGGGAAAAAAAAAATCATTCTTTATGTTTGACAGCAACAACGTACGGCTGTTTGCTGTAATACATAAATTAATGTCTTCCACATAAACAAGGGTGGAGCCAGAACTTTTAAGGTGGCCAGGGTGACACAACGCCTCACCAAGGGGTGGCCATACGATAAAACTTGTGCAAGCAATAACCTATTATTCTGAATGACTAGTACAATATGTATTATATTTTGCCCACTCTACCTGGTGCCTACAGACATTCTCAATTTTCTACGCAATTAATCATTTCTGTTATGTATCTTACATCTGAACACACCATTCATTTTAACAGAATGATGCCAGCTTCTAATTCTAAAAGTTCCCTCTCTGCTTTCTCAGGGTCCACGTGTTCCAATTTCCAGTAGCCTACAGAAGCAAGAATGTTGGTCGGAATGATTTGTTATGCGGTAATGGGGTTATAAAGGTGACCCTCGACATTACTCAGGGCGACATATAGCCTGCCTTCACAGGAAGTGGCGTGTATCTCCAGGTTATCAGTACGTTGACTCATGCACACATTTTAAAGTGTAAAAAAAAAAAAAAGAGGGTGGGTGTTTTTATATGTAGAACCTCACTAAATGGGCTGCTGTTTTCTTTCAACCCCCATAGGCAATTTTATGCGATGTTATCCGCGACTCAGTAAACCAGTATGCTCAAATGAGACCGTGGATAATGAAGGTAGAGTAAATTGGCAACTCCAAATTGCGCTGAATTGCCCTTTGAAATGGTGGACTCAGTCCAAACATAGACTTGGGCAGTTTGCACATTTTAGAGAATGAGGTCTACTAATGACATAGCCTAAAGCCTTTGAGACACCACTAACTAATTAAAATCACCGTTTTAAACAGAGCCTCAAGGAAAACTTTTTGAGAAAAATATCCAACTTGTCCAAAACTACAACAAGCCATTTACAACGAGTCAGCAAAATTACAGTAAAGCAAGTTCTTCATAAGACATATCTCTTGTACATTCAATAGCATCTGTATCCCATCGAAACAAATGCCAAACATTAGTCAGGGGTTGGGTTATCCATCCATCCATCTATCAATCCATCCATTTTCTAATCCCCTTATCCACACAAGGGTCGAAGGATAATTCTTTGTTTCCAAAATGATGGGAAGAATTCGAGGATGCTTTCTTTTCCATGCCAGCGTGACGGTGCCCCAGTGTACAAAGCAAGGATCATAAAAGTATATGTTTGTTCCGATGCATGAATGGACATAGGTTCTCTCCGTCTTGACCACTGGGTATCATTAAACCTGGTTCAGAAGCTTGATACGATCATAAAACCATGATACACAGACCACCACCACCACAGACAAATGAAATTGGCTCACATCATACTGACATCTCTGTATTTTTCCCACCACTCCACATAAAACCAACAAAATAACTCGATAAATTACAACGGGGGAAATGGCAAGGACTCACAGTGTGTATGAGTGACTGACAGTTCAGTGAAGCTCTTCAAAGCTCTCTAAGCTTTAAATTATCTTTCTGGGCCCCGTGACCTATTCTGGAACGTAACTTCATAACTCTTGCCAAATAACTGACGCTGCAAGAGATCAGCGTGCATCCTGCCGTCCAGGTCAGAGGCTGTCCCCGCCCCATCCTGCGTGGCCTTCCTTTTCAGGGGACATTACCTTTAATTTGCACTCCAACATATCTTTCTTTACGCTTGCTTTGTGCATGTGTGTGCACCCAGCGTTTTTGTTTTTTGTTTTTAATTTGTGTAATATAAGATTTAATGCACACTTGTGTGTGAAATTGTGCAAGTTGGGCATTTGCGCGCTTCACGCAGAATGTAAGCGTGAGCAAAGGGTCTGGCCGGAGGCCAGGCATGACTGATGAACTGATTTTGGCCTACTAAAGCAGCGAGGCTGAACACATTGCACGCCACTTATTACACACATCCACACGTACTTTACAAGCTCCCAAAGTGGGGTTAAATTATTTCCTAACACCCTTCTCGTTTCACTATTACTCGAACTCTGAACTAATTCCCCCGAAGACTATTTTGACTCTGTGCACCTCCCCACATACATCTACTCCGCCTTAAACGGGTCAAGGCAGCCAGAGTGTACACTGGAATTGATCATCTCAAGTGCTGGCAAGAGACTCCATGTGTAACTCTCTGCTCACATGATAAGAGCGATGTGACCAGTGGGGAAATAAAACTAGTGTTAGCAAGCGCATTATTTCATAAGTAGCTGAGCCAGTTTGAGTTGCACGAAGAAAAACCCTTTCAGCCTGATAATAATTATGGGAAATTAGTCTCTAAATCTGAACAAATTGTAGAGCGACCAGCCTCCAGGAAGGGATTGTGTACACACACACGTATAAAACCAATAACAGACTGAACACTACAGTAAAAAATTATATGAAACTAAAGCACAAAACTGGCAACTTTTGGAACATAGTCGAGGAACGCAAAGCACAAAAGTCTCCAGACCTCAATGAAAAGCATCTAGCATGTTTGTAGAAGAACCAGTGGTGTTCTTTTATTTTCCGGACAAGTCGGACAGAATAAGACAATCAACAGCCTTAGAAATAAAAAGTCATAAATAATCAAGTACAATAGATCGTTGCCAGCTCTTTTCAACTCAAGTGGGCAAAAATTCTGAAAATCGACTTAGTCCATTGGTGTACTTTTAACGAGTTGGTTTTTCCCTTTTTTTTTTTTTTGTTTTGTGATACATTAAGTGAGATGTCAACTCACCTCCTCCTCCTGCTCCACAGCTGGAAGAGAGCTGCCCGTTTGAACAGGTGCACATGTTGGGTCTGGAACAGAAGCCATCACCACAGGAGTTCCTGCAAATTGCTGTTTGATCAAAGGAGAAAGGGGCGAGTCGTTTTAAGCGTCCCGTAAAGATGCAACAGAAATAAGATTTTCTCCTATTGGATCAATTTGATGACAAGTGACGAGGATTCACGGATTGCAGAACTTACGAACAATACACTGGTTCCCGCCTGGCAAAGTCTTCCAGCCGGGGCAGCAATAAGAATGGAAGCGAGAACCACACACGTTGGGTCTGAAACACAAAAAGAAAGAGAAAACAAGTTAGAAATCAACCAGCATACCAAATATTTGAAAGAATCCCCGAAACAAATAGACGGCGCTGAGTGTCAGGTTCCAAACTGGCCAAGATTTGTTTGTCTTATCCTTTGAGAGTAAACAAAACACACAGACGCTAAACTCTCCTCAGTGTTGCATGATGGGATTCCTAGAGGAGGATCTCGAAGATGAGTGGGCTTCTCAAGTTTTTACCCGGCACCCAAAAATCTGATCTGAGCTGCTCAGTTGACAGATGTAAGAGTCATCGCAGCCTATGGAGCGTTTGATTGGTCTAGGCCACAAGCTTTCCTTTCAGGAATCAGCAGAACCGCATTTGCAAATGACTGACATTAGACACACACACACACACACACAAATACATTGAGGCTTTACAAACCAATAAGAAGAGAACTCTTTATCAACAGTGGACTAAAAAAAAAAATCCCCCTCATGCATCAACCCTCAAACCCAATTCCAGTTGGAATACAGAAGTAAATGCACCGTGGCAATCTGAAAAGATTCCAACAATGTGGTTGTAATAATGATATCCATCGAGAGCTTTCAAAGCACATAATAGGGGTGTATCTGTGGTCATTTGTGTTATCGTCCATTTTATTGACTACAACCAAGATTGTAGTGACCAGAGACCGGTAAATTGGTACAGACACTCATCTTGATGACATCAAGTCATTTGCCTCAGAGATTACATCTACAGAGCCCAATGTTTATCCATTTTTGATGGTCTTTCTGCCACCAAATCTAGCACGACCAACTGACAGGTATTCCAGATGTTGTGAGCAACATAACTTCATTCAAGACAAATACAGTGAAACCTCCAAAATTCAACCGCGATTCTCCGGGAAAATACACCCCTAAAGTCACATAAAAACCTCAAAACTTGAAGCATGGTTTGGCTTTTTTTCTTCAATTTTGCATGGCTTTCTGTCAGACTCCTCCAAAGAGAAGAAGCAGCCTCAACTCGGTGAAGAGAAAAGATTTAAACATGCTCTTAAAAGTGTCCTCTTCTAAAGCTCTGGACAAGACCCAAGGGGATAAATCAGGTGCAGACGTGTTTTGTGAGCCATGTGACTGGTAATGACGTCTACATTTCTAGTAAGACAATTTCTTTGATTGAACCACGCCTGCCTGTTAACATACCGCCATCCCTGTAAAAGGGTATCTTTCAAATATTTATATTGAGCTTAAGTCAACAGTTACGACATCATCGAGGTGACATCATCACAGTGACTTTTGGAGAGTTCCCATCAGAGGGGCGAGCCATTTTACAATTGTTTTTACAAGTTTAGAAATACCTCCTCCAAACTGACCACTAGTCTTTATTGTGAAAATGGTGGTCAGGGATGCTTTTTTTTTTTTTTTTTTTTTTTTTGTGGTTGAAGTTCTCTGTTTCTCTTTGTTTTTTGTTTTTGTTTTTTTTTTTTTAAATAAATGCTTCTAGAGGAGTCAATTGTTTTCATTTGCTCACACATTGCTATTTTATTTATTATTCTGAAAAAGGAGTCATTCATTTCAAAAGGGTGTTACAATTTATCTGTGTTGTAAATACAGGCATTTATTATCTAGTGTGCCATCTTGCATGTTTTAGAGCAGGGGTGTCAAACTCATTTCACATTGTGGGCCACATACGGACTCGGCAGATGTCAAGTGGGCCGGACCATTAACATTATATCATACTCTGCTATAAATAACCAAAATATCATGTCTTTCCTTTGTTTTGGTATACAGAAGCATTGGCGGATTGATACCGTCTGATGTGTTGGGTCTGTCTCAGTGACAGACTGAGACTGCTGTTTTCTTCTCTGATCAAAACAATTTTGTCTTCTACTCTGATCAAAACTATGCCCCCTAGCGTTTAATCAATGAATTGCATTTTATTAAAAATATTAATTCTGTGTCTTTAATGCATTTTTTTCACTTTTAAATTATCCTGTGGGCCAGATCGAACCTCCGTGGGGGCCGATTCCGGCCCACGGGCCGTATGTTTGACATCCCTGTTTTCGAGCTTGCCCTCCTCGAACACACCTGATTAAAAAATATAAGCTCAGCAGCAAGCTCTTGTAGAAGCCTGATAATGATCCTGATCATTTCACTCAGGCAACGGGCGGTAGAAGGACAGACAAACAGGTGGACGGGTATCGGGAGGAATTTGCGTTGTGGTCGAAGAGAAAGCAGCAGGGGGGAAAGTGGAAGAGGATAAAGTTCGAAGCAGTGAATTCTTTGAGGCAATTGCCGAAGCTAGAACATGACAGTCAGAATGTGTGAAGACAGTGACAAGGATCGGGCTTGGGGGGAGGACATGACAGTGGGAAAGGAAAAGGAACAGGGGATAAGTGGGAGGGAAAGCAAAACAAGTTGATGTTGAGAAGAGGAGGAAGCCGCAGGAGAAGTGGAAAACCGAGATAGGGAAACGAGAGGCCAGAGCAGAGTCTTGGTTATGGCTCAACTTTCTGGGGCACAAACTAAACATTCTGTTAGGGTTCAAAAACACCTCAGTCATGCATGGAGTGCGCCGTGAGCATTCCATCGCTTAATGAGCGACTGCTTTATTCCCTCCTCTTGTTTCTCCAGAGTGGTAAGACTATTCCACTATTACAGTTAGACTGGGAGGATGTTAATATATGACGGATTATATGCGCCTGACCCTGAGGTGTTCTTGTTTGTTATTCTTCCTCTGCGCTCTATCCTAGTCTTTCCTGCAGGTCAACGCTTGCCTTCTGAAGAGCTTGAGAGGGCCGACTCCAGTCAAACAGAATGAAAGACAGACAAAAAAAAAAGGAGTTTAAGCTCCAGGGGTTTTCCTCAATATTGAAATGTCCCACTGTTCTCAGGGCTCAATCTAAAGGAGCTTAACTTTTGAGCGTTGCAACCTTTGAAGCTGCCTCCTGGCCCGTAAATCGCTCGTTAACTGCCATTAATAGTAATAAAAGGAAAATGGCTGCCATCTCACAGGACAAAAAAAGGGAACAGAAACTATCAATGTCACACTTTTGTTTTTGCTCCTATTTTTCATCACCTGAACTCACAAATCAACTTTTTCTATGTAATTTTGAGATCGGCTCATGAAAAATGTGTTGCATTTATATGCCCTCTTTAGAGTCACAGTACATCCAGGACTTGTCGCCACGCCAATTAAAGGGCATTTTAGAATTGTAACTACAAGATAAATGTCCTTTATGACCAACTCCCTCATTCTTGTCAGCATACTACGAATTGCAGAAACTGCTGCTTGTGACAATATGGACGGACAAAAAATAAAAATAAAGTCCTGTTCTTTACATTTGTGAACTGTTTATCTTTGCTGCGTTTCCACCGAATGCCGTTCAAGTTGTAAACGTCAATTGGTTCTGATCTTCAACAACCACCGTTTTCTGGAGTCTCGGGAAGCACCGATGGCATTCTGTGAGCTTCTAGCAAACAGTTGCAGAATTAGAAAGCGCAACATCGACACACCCCGAGGGTCTGTCCACTCATTCAGGAATCCACAGGGTCAAAGATGAAAGCAGCTGAGAGCAGCCTGTTGGACTGCCAACATGGGGTCGGCATGGTACATGACCACAGTCTGATTCCATGAAGACAAAGAAAAGTAGAAATTTAGGTCAGGTGCCTGTGAAGCTTGCATGTGTTTGTGTCAGTGGCCCGGTCAAAGATCAAAAGTCATCAGTCTGGTATTTGAGCCAAGTTAAGCCTTACGTATTCCTGCCTGAAGCAGCACTTGTGCCGGCTGGCTTGTTATGAGATGGGAGTGAGGAGGATAGAGGAATGTATCGAAAATGACCCACGTGTCCATTCTTGGGCCTCCATTCCGGCCATTGGAGAGGGTGCTTATGATGTTGTCCTAATTCTGTAGTCTGGACTAACTTTGCTCATTCAACTAGCTTTCAAAGCGTCTCCTTTCAGCAAAGCTGGGTTGCGTTTACAAGGAGGTTGGTTGCCAAGAATGAACTGGAATTCTACATCGCCAGCATAAAAATTGACTTTTAAAAAGAAAATGAGCTCCATTTTATGAGCTTTATGGTCTGCATTGAAGGTAATTGTGGCCACGTAAAAGTGTATATTCTTCACTATGTGCAAAATTGATCAAAAAACGGCTACTTGTGTGTTCCAGACGTGCGTTTGGTCTTTTAACACGTGCAATGACATCATTGTTCTAATGGTAGGACATCAGCGTTGGTTTCTTGTCCGTTCCTTCTGGTGGGGACCAGCCGGAGCCAAAACATTTAAGGTTATGTGATGATCTTTTGAATGTGGAATTTTTCACAGCCAAAAAAAAAAAGCAGCTGTAAAGAGAAGGCTAAGCCCTTTTTCTACAAAGCAGTATGTCATGATTCAAAGATTTTCCATATTCACTGATCCTTTCTGACACATTTTTCAATATAATTCTGGTGGAAGACTCATTGCACCAATTTATTTTTAGAGATCCAGCTGTGACCCGCCCAATCGTGGACGATTCAGCAACGGTTTAGATGCCACAGCGGTCATATATGGGAATAGAATATTTCATTTCTTCTCTCCACACTAAAACCAGCAAATTGATGGCAAATTGCCTGCAAGGTTTCTGTTCCAATGCAATCATGTAGCTACGTGAATTGAATTTTTTAAATAATTGGAGTGGGATGGGAAGCGTAGTGGCACAATTAAAACTAACCTGTAAATTACGATAGAGAGACCAAGTCCTCTGCGTTTTTCATTTTCCATGAATGGAAGCATGTGTTATAATAATCAAGTTCCTCTTTTATTTTGTTGAATTCACTTATAGGTTAGGCTAGGTTCTGCCGGTATGATGTCATTCTATGTCCAAATTGCAGACGATCCCGTCTACACTCTTCAAAGGCATAAATACAAGGTCGATCATAGTTTACTGGCCCAAACCAATTTGACTGGGACCAAATTGCCGCTTAATGGAGTGTGGCTGCAGACTACATCTGTATTATTCACAGACTGTGTCTGTATTATTCC